TGGACTTGATGGCAGCGGGTGGGCGTTTGTTCTCTAGTAAAGAAGGCAGGTGGGTATTGACATTATTGGGATTTCTGATTTAGCTGGTTTATGGATCCCGACCCTGCACCCTATTTCCATGCTCCTCCTTTCTCCCGCTTTAAATGATTTTGTCCTCTCTTCACTGTTGGCACGTTGCTTTGGGCAAGTACAGCAAGGTGCTCGCTCAGTGCTTTTGGATCTGAGTCCTAGCACCTGAGAGGAAAGGAAAGAGAAAAGAAAACTACAAATTGTGTGTAGTTAGAAGGTTCAGGGTGTAAGGTTGGGTCTTGAGATCAGAGATATGAAAACTTAGCTTGAGGCATTTAAATGGCTCTGTCTTGGTTTCCAGTGTATATCTGGGGACTGCTTTTCCATAAATCACCTTATTTTAAAGCTGTCAAACTTTAACAAAATGAGAGATTATAATGATTTCTCCTGTGTGAAGCTTGCAATGAAGGTAGAGGTGACAGGCAAAATTATGCAGACTTATTTTACATTATCAATTCCTGGCAATCCTTGAACTTCAGCAACCATCCTGCTAATAAGCAGCTAGATAGGATGGGTTTCAGGACACATCTTTTGGTTAAGCCAGAGCTGAACTCACATCATTGGAAAACTGAAAGATTTTGAATGGAAATTGGATTGGAGACTTCATTATTTTATTAGAGAGGAAATAATTCTGAGGGTCTCCTTATTTGCTCTTCTTTCATCTAAGCTTCTAACTGAAAATAATGATGAGCTGCCCTAACCTTTTCACCTAAATTCTTAGGCAACCCCCAAAGTTTCCCAGCACACAAAATATTAAAGCTGCTCTGTTGCCAAGTGTTTTTTGGGCAAGGGGGTACTGAGCTTCAAAGTCCTTGTACTTAGGCCCTGAAGACTGTCAACCAACACTTGGTCTTTGAGGATCACAGTTTAAAAAGCACCTATCTGTCTAATTTAATCATAGTGGGAAATCCAGAGAAAAGGTTATGATTCATAATCCAAATTCTGTCAAATTTTAACATGAACATTTTTTAAAGAAACAAAATATTGCAGATAATTTAAGCCTATTTGTATTCTCATTTGGCTTCCTTTATTTTGCACCATCCCTAGAGGAAAACACATAACTGATTTAATGAATATCATTCCTGGTGTGGAGCTGTAGGATTAGTGCAGGACCTCAAGGTCAGTTTGAACCACAAGGTCTATAGTTCAAACACCAGCAATTCCTCAGAAACCCTATGTTGGTTCACTCTGAGTCGGAATCAAATCAGTGGCACTTAACAACAACAGAAAAATAATGTTTTTATATTTTGCTACATGCATTTACAACCCTAAAAAGTATTCAGCAATGTTTTGGTTGTGCAATTTACTCAACATTACATTTTAAAAATTGATCTATTTGCATGCATGTAGCCCTAGCTCTTTTATTTTAATGCTATAATGCTCTGTATTTTAAGAACATTTCATAGTTTATTCATCAGTTCTTCTATTTATGAAAACTAGCCTACCAATTTCCATTTTTTGTTCAATACAACTATATGACCTTTCCCCATCTGCAGTGGATTACCCACCAACCACTAAAGCCAGTGACGATTAAATTGAACAATTCTACCAACTTGTTTGCATTGCACCTCTTTATAAAGAAAACATAAGACATCAGCACTGAACCAATAAATAACATGATGATAAATTTAGAAAAGATTGAAGTTGTCAAAAACTTCATTTTGCTTGGATCCACTATCAGCAATCATGGAAGCAGCAGTCAAGACATAAAATGACACACTGTATTAGGCAAATCTGGACCTCTCTAAAGTGTTCAAGAATATTAGATTGAGAACTTTGTGCACCTGATCCAAACCATGGTATTTTCAATACCTTTATGTGCTTGTGGAAGTTGGACACTGACTGTAGAAGAACTGATGCATTTGATTTATGGTGTTAGAGAAGAATATTAAAAGTACCAGGGATTGCCAAAAGAACAAACAAATCTTTGTCAGAAAAAGTACAGCCAGAGTGCTCCTTAGAAGCCAGAATAGTGAAATTTTATATCTCATACTTCAGACACATTATCAGGAGTAACAAGTCCCTGGAGAGGGACATCATGCTAGGGGAAATGGGTTAGGGAAAAGAGGAAGACATCCGGCATGATGGGTTTGTACAGTGACAGCAGCAATGGGCTAAAGCTTAACAATGTTTGTGAGGATGGCACAGGACTGGGCAGTGTTACCTTCTGTTGTGCATAAGGTCGCTATGAGTTGGAACCAACTCTATTACACTTAACAACAACAACAAACCAACTTCTTCAGTCTGAAATTGATCAAACATGCAATCATGGTGTGATTAAAATTACTGGTAACTGGAAAGCAAAGATGGTAAAAAAAAAAAAAAAAATTGTTCTTTAAAACACCCACCTTCGGGATTTCTGTTATAGCAACTCTAGG